TTGCACTATTTGTTCATGATATTGTACGTTTGCATGGTTTTTCCAAATCAATTGTGTTTGATCGAGATGCTATTTTTGTCAGCCAATTTTGGCAAGAATTGTTCAAGTTGTTTGCTACTAGCCTCAAATAGAGTTCAGCTTATCACCCTCAAATAGATGGTCAAACTGAGGTTGGTAATCGCTCCTTGGAGTCTTATTTACATTGTTTTGCAGGGGTACATCCAAAACAATGGCCAAGATAGATTTTCAATACCACTTACCATGGGTCCACCAATATTACCCCTTTTAAAAGAGGTGAATGAGCAACTTATTGCTAAAACACTATTTTTGATGAACTCAAAGCTATTTTTACCCATGCTCAATGTCAAATGGAAGTTTATGTGGATGCTAAGCGTTGTAAAGTTGTCTTCCAATGATTTGGTTTATCTTCGCGTGCAACCTTCCAAGCTTCCCTCACTTGCTAAAAAGGTTAACAAGAAGTTAATTCCTCGTTACTATGGGCCATACTATCTTGAATAAATTTTGTGAAGTTGCCTATCACCATTATTTACCCCTTCATTCACGGGTCCATACAATTTTTCATGTTTCTTGGCAAAAGTATGCAACAACGGATCCTACTCCATTTCAGAAACTCACTTCTTTCTTATCTGAAGAGCTTGAAATGCAAGTACAACCTGAAACTTTAGTAAAATATCTTACACTCTTGAATGGCTCCCAAGAGGTGTTCATTAGGTGGAAGGAATTACCAGACTCTGAGAACACATGGAATCCTAGACAGTTATTGATACACAGTTTCCTCAATTTCACCTTGAGGACAAAATGAAACTCGTTGGGGCGTGAGTTGTTAGACCTGCTATAAATAGGGTCGATAGCTGCATGAAGATGGGTGAAAATAAGCCCTAAATGTACTTTATTTTTTATTTATTCATTATTATGTGTATGTATTTCTAGTAGTTACCTAGTAGTTACCGAGCAATTTAGGTGGTTATTTTGTAATAAATAGTACTAGGAAGTAGAAAAGACAGAGAGTTTTTTGGGTAGGATTTTCTCCGGCAGATTTGGAGGTTAAGGTTCCTCGAAATACCATGATTGTTAGAACTATTCTCTATTTGCTATTTGTAAGACTTATTCTGTTTGTTGGTGTTAGTAAATACTAGTTTAAGTGTTATTCCTAATTCCATATTGCATTTGAAATTTTACAGATATAAAGGAGAGTCTGTGTTCCTAAAAGATTTCCTTGTCCAGGTGATAGCTAGTACATGTCAAAAGTCTTAAATTGAGCTGGTTGCGATAAAATCTCCCATATGGTTATATTATATTATTATATATTATTATAAGTGGGAAGCTCCAAAGTAAAAAAGTTGAATTACCATTTTTTTCTATACTAAATTCAATGTTATTAAATATTTAATTAATTAAACAGTAAATAGTATAATTTCTATAATATTTTTAGTTGGTATACATGCGAGTAAATTAAATAGAAAAAAATAAAATAAAAGTTATCCCTTTAAATAGGTACATGTATATGACTTATCTTCAAAATTAATTTATGTTTTTAAGTAATATTTATCTTTAATTTGTTGTAATACTTGACCTTTCAACTTTTTAAGTGAATCTTCATATTCCAAAGCTATATTTTTTCCTATACATACAAGTTTTTCAATTAGTACTTTCATATAGTGATTTATATGTAACACAAATTTTGTGTATGGAAGACGAGAGAAGCTTTAATTAACTGAAGAAAATTTTAAGGAAAAGTTGAATTATCATTTTACTCTTATGCTAAATTCAAATGTTATTAATATTTAATTAATTAAATAGTAAATAAAAGAATTTCTACAATATTTTTAGTTGGTATTTATGTGAGTAAATTAAATAGAAAAAAGGTAAAAATTACAGTTATCCATTTAAGTAGATACATGTATGTGTTTAATCTTCCAAATTAATTTACGTTCTAAATTAATATTTGTCTTTAATTTTTGTAACACTTGACCGTTCAACTTTGTAAGTGAATCTTCATATTCCAAAGCTATATTTTTTCCTATAAATACAAATCTTTTTAACAATATTTTCATAGAAAGATTTATATGTAATACAATTTTGTGTGTGGAAGACTAGAGAAGCTTTAATCAAGTGAAGAAAATTTTAAGGCGAGAGGATTTGTGTGAATTTTACAAGGCATAATGTGATTATAGGGATGAATAACACTTTAATTACTAGAATATTGAAGCTTGATGTATATTTTTTTATTTATTTGTCGAGATCATAACTATGATACGACCCCTCCATTTATGTAGTCGAATATCACTTCCATTAACTTGTCTTTCAAAGATCTTAATTCTTTTTTATAAGTATAAAGTTGAATGTTTATTGCTATAACTTTGTTTCAATATGCATTATCAATAAAAAAAAAAGCCAAAAAAAATTGTCTTAGAAATTTTTATTTTTCGTTGGTAGCCTTATGCTAAACTTGCTCCTATATATGATACTCTTTCTTTGTACTTGTAATTTTGTTGTAATAATATATTTGATTGAGGTGTATGTTTTGCTTTAGAAAATGAGGCAAAGACAATCATAAAAATAGTATATAAGACATGTAAAACAATGAATGCCTACAAGATATTCTAATTTGAAATTATTAATAATTATATTTTTGCATCTTAAATTTTAAATATTTGTAAAGAATCATTCTTACATGTGCTTGTGGATAAAATCTATATCGTTTAGACAATTTTTATTAAAATTATCGTGAGATCCAATTCCAAAGTCAAAGAAATGATACACCAAAATACTCAAGAAGTTAGAAGATCTTTTATTTTTTGACCAAATATTGCTCCTATTATTAATTTTTTAACAAAAAATCTAAAATATATTTTAACAAACTTCGAATTGTAAGAATATTAATATTGTCATTTTGAGTCTCCACTGAATTAATATCTGATTTATTTAATTAAATATTAATATTTTATTTATATAATTACATAATTTAAATACCAATCATTGCCCTTTAAATCTTATTTGTTATTTCCTTCTAATAAGTTTCTTATTTTTCAATTTGAATTACTTAATTGCATTCTACTTAATGAGAAAGGAGAATTCCATCTTTTACTAATTAATGTTAAATATTTTATCTTCTTGAAATGTATATCTTGTGTAACTATGAATATAATTTCAATATTTTTACTCCATTCTATGAGACAAAAGAGATATTTTAAGGAAAAATTTCAATATTTCTACTGAGATAAAAAAGACATTGTAAGAAAGTTAATCATAAGATAGTGTGCCTCCATGTTTGTTTTTGATAATTTATTCCGTCTTTTACAACAAATATAAAATTTATATATTAAAATTATAATAAAGGGAAATCTTCAAGTTAACTATACACTAGAAACATTTTTCTAAAAGTTAAATCGCACATTTCCCTTTTATTAATAAGTTTATACACTAAAAATGTTTATCATTTTACTTTTTATATTTGTATTGTAACTCAAATACTATTTTTTAAAAAAACTATATGATTTTTTAATAGTTCATATTCATCGTTACGGAGTAAACATGCAATGCACGTGTCCATATACTAATATATATATAATCATAACTCTTTAAATTTGCTAAAATTGAGCATTTTTGCTCTAACTAATAAAATAGATTTAAAAAGTATTCCATATTAACAATCATAAAACATTTCGTCAAAGTTATGAGGTAAAATTGAAAAATCAATTGGTTCGATTTAATTTTATTTAACTTTTCACAAATTCAACCAAATTCGATCATTTTCCATATGTTAAAAATAAAAGAAATGAAAAAACTGTTCAACATTAAGTATTATGTAATTTTTTTAGTATAAACTTATAAAAAATTATTTTGAAAAAAAATGACTGAGCCTGATTTCCTAAATTCGAACATTTTAAATAAAATATTGATCTCTCATTAAATTTTCCAAGCTCTTTGCTCAAACACAACTGAGCAAAGTTGATTTATTTTTTAAAAAAAATAATAAATCTGGGATCGAAGTTGATTTGTTTCCATCGATTTAAAAGTAGATTGATTTTTTTAAAGTTACGATTAATTTGTAAATTCATTTTATTGGTTAGAGCAAAAGTGTTTTACTTTGAGCGATTTTAAAAATTAAAGATATATAAAATTATATTAGGAGGCCTAAATACAATTACTCCCTTTTATAAGTAATAAAAATTGTTTGGCTTAAAACTCAATTTTCTATTCAGCCTCCAAGGATTATATATATTTTATTTCAAGAAATATATTTTGATTAATAAGCTAATGTATGATGACGGCACAAGCATGTTTTTCTGAATTTTAACAAAGAAAATATGGCCTCCTAAATACAATTTTTAATATATTTATCGGTGTTTTTTTTTCTAATGGTTTTTGAATTTTATCTAGGAATAAATTCGTATATTTTTATCTGTAAAATGAACTAATTAAAATCGAATTTTAATTTCTTACGAAAACAACACTAAACTTGCCTGTTCATGTTAAATTATTTTTTGTATATGCAAGGTATGCATGCACATGAACTAATGGATGATTTTTTTAAACTTAATTCCACCATTAATTAATTGTTTTTACAAATAATAAGGTGCTCATTTATTTATCAAATGTTAGCAAAGGTCATTCCCAAACTTCTATAAAGTAAGAAATAAAATTATTTATGTTTTCTTGAGACGTTAGATTTCTTTTAAATTATAATGTATGATTATTTCAGATAAAAAATTTATATTTCGAAGAGTTCTTATAAAACTCAAAAGATTAAAATATTTTATGCATATTGAAATTTTGCTCTCTTTTTTACAATATAAATGTTTTATTAAAAATAACAATCTAATCCACATATTTCTACTATAGTAGAAAAACTCTATTCAACATGTCTATTTAGTGTCAATAAATTAAAAAATAAGGGCATTTGAGTCATTTTAATCAATGAAGTTGATATGTATTAAGCTACTAGGTGTCTATCACTGCACCACAGCAAATGACACGTAGCACACAACTTTTTTGCAGCTCTAAAGTTTTCTACTCTTCCATGACCCTACTGTTGAATAATTCATATGCACCTCCTCTCCTTTCTTTCTCCGGTAGAAAGCTTTCTAAAAAAAAGACAACATATCCATGGGAGTCCTTTACCTCTTCTTTGGTTGTGTTGTTGTCTTGTCAATTTGTCGGTTTTGTTTTGGACTCTCTCAAGTACTTTGTTAATCTGATGGATTAATCTAGGCTTCTAAGAAACATTTTTTTTTTAAATTTCTTCTTCTTCTTATGCTTTCTGCTCCCACAATCTCACGTTTTCTTCTCTGTGCAGTGTTCTTTTGGCAGTTTGTGATTTTCCCAACTTTAATCAACTTTTCATCATCTATGAGGTACTTTCCCCTTTGTCTTTTTATTTTCTCTTTCGGCCATTTTTCTGGGGTTTATGTTGTGGGTGTGTTGAATTTTTTTGTGGGTGATCAATAATTTGCTAAATAAAGCCTTTTTGGCATGTGGGTTTGTGATTTTATTTGGGTTTGGTGTTAAAGTTGTGGTCTTTTTGGAGTTTGGGTTGGTTTAGTTTTCCGGGGAAGTAGTGATGGTGATGTTGATTCTTTGTTGCTTTGGTTTATTTCGAAAATCTTAATGGGTGTTTAAATTCATGCTGAATATCACGCCCTAAACTTACTTTTACTCTAATTCGACCCCTCAATTTCCACACAATTATCACTGCTAATCCATCTAATCTTCAACACATTCTAAAAACCAATTTCTCTGTTTATCAAAAAGGCCATAATTCAAATAACACTCTCGCTGATTTCCTCAGTAATGGCATTTTCAACGTCGATGGCGATATATGGAAGTATCAACGACAAGTTGCTAGCCACGAATTCAATACTAAATCGCTACGAAAATTCGTTGAATCTGTAGTTGATGTCGAGGTATCTGAACGTTTAGTTCCCATACTCGCGAACGCTGCTTACCATTTTTATTGCCTCTGTGAATGTGACACTAAATTCTTTTAACTTGCTAGCACGGCTATTTAGTTTCCTTCTCCAAGCTTGAGATGGTGGTGCAGCACTATCAAAATCAAACTGCAGCAAGCAAATACAAGCGAGATCATAACACTATAAAAGAATTGAACATCACAAAAGTGAAATATCCCAGTGGAGGCAAAAAGCACTAGATGATTTATTCTCCCTCTTCAATCCTTTGTGGACACCACAATTACCCAAAAAAAAAA